ATCTATGTATCTATCTATGTATCTATCTATGTATCTATCTATGTATCTATCTATCTATCATCTATCTATCTATCTATCTATCTATCTATCTATCTATCTTTTATCTACTTATCTATCTATATGTATCATCCATCTATCACCTATCTATATCTTTCTCAGCAGACCAAATTTTTCTCATCTCTAGTACACAGAGTGGAAAATCTGCTAAAGTACCCACTTCTCACACCAAATGATCTTCATTTGTCTGTCTTTAGCTCTCACAAATACTTCCAAAATCACCAGAGACTGTGTTTACTGGCCCATTTTGCATTAGCTGTCCAGTCCTGAACTAAATACTTAGACATACGGCGCTTATCTACACCACTATATGGATTGGCAGGAAGGGCAATTCCTGGAAAAGTGGGGTTAGGCAGCTCAAACAATAGATGCCCACACTCTCTACATGATGGGCGAGAGAATGTCATGTAGCACTGCTGGGACTCGTTTGTCTACTTATTCTAAAAATATCTGTTTTTTACTGGACATGGGGTTAGGATACCAAGATGAGCTGGATAACCTCTATCCCCCTGTTCTAGTTTTGTGTCAGTCATTTACTATATGATCTTCGTAAGTCATTTCTTCTCTCTGGGACTCAGCTTCCTTTATTAAAATAGAACAGACAGAAGTAGAAGTGTTTTATTGTCCATTATAATAAGACTACAAGCCTAATATCACTGTTATTTCAATTACTCTTCATCAAGAACGTCACACTCATGATCCAGAGGTTTTCTCACCAAGAAGTTGTATTTTCTGAAGCCCATCCCCCATAGTATAAAACAGAATAGATCATGAAAAGCCTCAGCCAGTTACAAAAACCTTTGCTTTGTACAAACCAGAAATTCAAACTGAATGAAGTCATGATATCACTCTTTTCCTTAAATAAAAAATGATAGTTAAAAAAACACTCAACATGGTAGTTTATATCCAATAAGACTTGGCAGATATGGTCCTGTGGCACTAAGGATTTAAAACTCGTCCTCCTAGCTTTGCAAAGCTAGACCTTGCAATAAATCTTACTAGTTGTGTGGCCTCATCTTTGGCCAGAAGACTGAAGGAGTTCTGAGTGGTGAATGTGTTGCCAGTCATATGTTTGTGTTGTTTTGGCAGAAAACTCCAGAAGAGGAGCTGCAGCCAGAAAACCTTCCTACTGAGACTTCAGCCCCCAAAGATCCCCTGAGCTCTTTGGCCATCAGGCCAGTCTCACAGCCTTTTGTTAGTCCAATGATGAAGAACAAGTCTGAAGAATGTGAGACCTGGATTGACAGGTTTAGGAAGCTGGAAAATGCCCTCTACCTGTGTGATCTGAGTAACACAGGTGAAGTGTGAAGCTTAGAGTTGATAATGCCTTTCTCTTTCTGTTCTGGTCTAAGAGTGGATCTCATCTCCTTTCACTTCTTAACAAATACAATTTGTATATAAACCATGTGCCTGGCACTGTGCTAAGCACAATCAAGAGATGTAAAGATGAATTAGACATGTATTCTTCACCGTTGCTTAGTTTCTTTGCGTCTCTGATCGTTCCTCCACTCTATCATCTGAGTCTAACCCACAATCCAATCTTGTTCTTCTAACTGAAATACTTCAGTGTGCCTACTTACAGGATGAACTCCAAAACTTCTTAGCAAGGCAAAATCTGGTCTCTGTCCACCTGACCATTCTCTTCTCCTTCAATTTTATTCTTTCAGCATTTTTTACCTAGTCATAATGAATAATCTGCCTTCTTAAGACTAGCCTTGCTTTCTCCTCTGACTTGCTTTTTCTAACCTTCATCTGAGCTGTCTGACTCTCCTCTACCTACCCACCCCATGACAACTCCCCATCTTGTCCACCTGGCTAATTAATGCCTAAAATTTATATGTTGGAACTCAAGCTTTACTCCTCTGAGACTCCTCTGATTTCCCCAAATAGATCTAGGCTAACCTTTACCTGGCCTCTCAGAGTTCTTTAACATCCATTATCATATTTGATATATTGTATTTTTTATTGGGTGGGCTTAGAACTATCTCACCAGTAGACTATATTCCTTTTTTATCCCTAGCACCTTGCATAATTCTGTTTAACATTTTTTTGAGGCAGCAAATAAATGAACGAATGTACATAAATAACTAAATCCAAGATGAAAGGTGGTAAAGCCATTAGGGTATGCTATGTAGACATTCAGAAACAGGAGAATTCCTTCTTAGTGAAGTGATCGGGGAATGAATCATAATGTGAATGGATCATTAAAGATAAAGCACAATTTGTATATAAAGGAATGAAATCAAGGGCCCTGTCTGGCAAAGGTACAAGTTGGCCAAGTAAAGTATTATGTGTGAAGCTCAAAGAGTTTAGTTTGGATAGAATGTAGAGATTATTAAGAATAATAATAATTTAATGTCAACTGTAATTTAAAAATAAAAGTAATATATTAGTTTTAAAATTAAGAAAGAAGACCATTAAATGATAAAGGTAGAGATATGAGAAGGGACCAGATCTAGGAAGCTCTTAGATGCTGGACCGGGAATTTGGATTTAATTCAAAGACAGCGAGTTACACTGAGAGTTTCTAAGCAGGGGAGTGGTATGATGAAGTATTTTGGAAAGACTCTTAATGGCTGTGAATGAATAAAGGAGAAAATGAAAACAAGAAAAGAAAGACAATATTGCAATGTTTAAGTGAAAGAGAATGAAATCCAGAACTTGGAGATTTAGGGAATGAAAAGGAAAGAACATACACAAAAGCACATGGACTGAAACTGCTGTATTTAATCACATCCTGTCATTCACAAAAAGGTAGTGTATTAAATGGAGAATCTAAAAACATCGAACTCGGAGAAATGAAGAGTAGAATTGTGGTTGCTAGGGGAAATGAGGAGATGTTAGTCAAAGGGTTCAAACTTTCAATTATAAGACGGATAAGTTTAAAGAATCTAATGTGCACTAGTTAATAATACTGCATTATATACTTGAAAATAGGTATGAGAAGAGAGCTTTAACGTTCTCACCATAACAACAGCAGCAGCAAAATGGTAATCATGTGAATAAAAGATATTAACTAACCTACTGTGGTAAACGTTTTGCAATATATACATGTATCATATCATCACATTGTACATCTTAAACTTACACACTGTTATATCTCAATAAAACTAGAAATAATTTCTTAAAAGAGGTATTGCCCACATTAATATTCCCTAGAATGAATCATCTAACAATAGCAATGCCTATATTTTCATTCTCTCTGTTGTTTCATTTTGTTTTGAATTTGCAAAGCAAATTAATTCAAGACTACATGAAGTGTAACTACCCCACAATACCAAGAACTCTTAATAATTATACCAAAGAGAGGGGAAATTTTTAATAAAAATTTATTTAGCTGAATTAGAAAATCATTTTTTAAACATCTATTATGAGCCTAGCACTGTGCTAGAGGCTGGACCAGGAGGGAAACGAGAAAGAATTAGACGTGGTCTCTGGCCTCAAGGAGCTTTAGGTAAGAAGGTAAGACAGAGAGACTGGCAATAGTTCAATACCAATATTATTTTTAACACAGCATACAGTAAAGTATTATAATTAAAGAGTTAAAGAGTCCAAAGGAAAGACAGAAGAGATGTAAAGAAGTACATCATCTAATGTGAGCCAGAGCACTCAGGGCTCCATGCAAGACAGCTTGAGATTGGCCTTGAGGAGAGGTAGACTTTGGATGGCTGGGTAAAGCATTCTGAGTTCAAACCACCTTCTGCAATATTAGAAGGTGGGAATGAATATGATGAGGAAGGCAGTGAACAAAACAGGACTGGAGGTTCATGTTCAAATGGATAGTGTAAGGTGAGACTCTATTGTGAATCCCGAGGATGAGGGTGGGCTTCATTCTCTACCCAGTGTCCAACAAAGGTTCAATCAGAAGAGAACACAATGAAAGTTGAAATAGATAATTTAGGGAAGATACTGGAAAAAAGGAGATCAAAAGGTTATTGAAATAGTCATGAGTCCAGGTATTCATACCGGGACTATGAGAGTGCTCATGAGATTGCAAACAAAATTGAAACAAAACAAAAAACTGAGTAGAAAGAAAAGACATTTCTAAAGAAACAAATGCTGATTTGGGATGATGGATGATGGATTATAAACCCAGTTGCTAAGAGACTCCCCAAAGACTGAGACCTTTCTCATACTTTTGAACTGTTCTGAGGAAAAAACGGAGTTTTATTGACTTTGGAGGCAGATTCCAGCAGATTTGAAATGCCTTTCTCATGGCCTCTTCACTATTTATGCCTGTTTTCTCTGTTTCTATGAAATTCATTAGTTCCTCAGCAGCCAAAGACTGTGTCAGGCAGATCTGAGAACATCTATAACTATCTTTAGTGAGGGAAGGGGCTAACCAGGTCATCTTGTTGGTTTACCAACCACAGTATTTAAAAGACCACGTGGCCCTCTCCGGATGCTGGGCAGATGGTACTTGCTTTGCCCACTGATGAATCACTGCTCTTTGTTATATGCAAGGAAATATGTAGGCTGGGGTGTTCTCCATCCCGGACAAAGACAGACCATCCATCATCAACTTAGCATTTCTGGGAACTGACTTTGTGTTTATTCTCTAATGGGAGTTGTCAAGAAGATATCCTTGAGAAGAAATAAGGAATGACTATGAATAACTGGTCATGTTTTCTAAAGAAAGAGGGTAGTTGAGATAAATATTTGGGTGAATGGTAGATTTGGAAGTTTCCCAGTGAACTACAGTCTAGATAGAAAGTATTTTAGAGTTCAAGGAAGCAGAATGCAATAAGAGCCCTCACGGATATTCTCTGCATGGGTCTGGATTTTACATACCCTGTATCGCTAACTCCTTACGTTGACCACATGCTGAAGGGACTGATGTCCTTATTTGCTGAGGAGAAAGCCAAGCTCAAAGTGATGAAATAATAGTCAGTAAAAAGTTGAGCCATAATTCAAACTCAGTTCTATTGGAATTCCCATTATACCAAATTTCCATGACACACCAAAAAGGGCATGAGATGTTTTCGTTGTTATTTTTCAATTACTGTTGACATACAATATTATATTAGTTTTAGGTGTACAACATAGTGATTAAACATTTACAAAATTTACAAAGTGATCACCCCGATAAGTCTAGTGCTCATCTGACACCATACATAGTTATTACAATATTACTGACAATACTCCTTATGCTGTACTTCACATCCCCGTGACTATTTTTATAATTGGATGAGGGTGGGCTTCATCGTGATCCTTTCCTCTTTTTCATCCATTCCCCCAATGCCTCTCCCATCTGGCAACTGATTTGTTCTCTGTATCTATGAGTTTGTTTTGTTTGTTCGTTTACTTTGTTTTTAAGATTCCACATATAAGTGAAATCATATGGTATTTACTTGTTGCTTTGTTTGTTGCTTTGTTTGTTTTTACCAAAAGACTTGGATTCAAGTCCAGACTTCACCAATTTCTGAGCCTGTTTCCTCATCTATAAAATAGGATTGATGATAATAAAACATACCTCCCAGATTTGAGAAAGGATCAAATGATGTTTGAAAGATCTTTGTAAACTGTACAATGAAGTAGATGTCATTTTAATTCTTGTGGGTGAACAGGCTTTCCAACACTAAGATGGATTGTGAGGGTTATTTTATGTAGCTGTCCTGGGCAGCCCTTAATGAAAGTAAATTAGACAAATACAAATTTCAATCAGTGGACTTTTGTTTGACAGTAGGAATCTCCTATCTTTTCTAAAGCTTAGAAAATAATAGAAAATGCCTTCCCCCTCCCCACACACACCAGTGGTGAATACTAGATGCTTTTTAACATTACTTTTAATTTCTAATTAAAATATACAATATGTATAAAAATAATTTCTTCTTAAAATATATCATATATTTTAAGTAATGTTGATAATATTATTATAATTATCCTATAATAATACCTGAATTAATGAGTGCTTACTAGTTCTGGGCATTTTGCTAAGCACTATTTTACCGATTTTCTTACAATTTAATTATCCCTATTTTACAGTTGAAGAAACTGAGGCTCAAAATTTTAAAATAATTTTCCCAGTCAGACACTTACTCCAAAGCCTATGACGTATATTTCCAGAGGCAGGATATGAGGGAGTGTCCCGAGGGGTCAAACCTAGGCCAGAGGAAGAAAAGCCACCTAATCCAGAGATCTGCAAAGATGCATCCGCCAACTCAAAGAGATTTCTGCGACAAAAGGGCCAACGTTTTAACAGGAGCAAAAGACAATAAACCTAAATAGAATAGACAACAAATAAACTAAGATAGGATGAGATGGGATAGGTAAGGATTATACAGGACAGAATAAAAGTGAATGGAATAAATTGCATTAGGGCCCCACCTGTCTGTAGCCCACTGTCAAGAACATCTATTAGAGGAGACATCAGAGGGGGAACATCTTGCTCAAGAGTCCTTGTACATTTAAATACAAATAGTACTTGACAGCTTAAACAGAGATGACAGGTATCCACTAGAACTAACTCTCATGGGCTAGAAGTAGCTTTCCACAAATGACCAGGGGACTGCCTCTGGATACTTAAAGAAAAAATTTTACAATCATTACAATCATTATTAAAAATTTTACAATCACATATGCAGTCTGCATAACTACAGGAGAGTAGAAAAGCAACATACAAGAGACGTAGCTTTCATCCCTATAAAAGATATTTAAAATTTTTTTCATTGACACCTGTAGCATAGATCTTCACAATCAAGGAACATATTTAGAAAATAATATGAGCTCTACTTGAAACGATTTCTTCCTTCTCATTCTATAAACTAGTGGAGTGATTTAATGCATGGCCTTGAGCAACCTTGGGTTTCATTTCCATGCCTCAGTTTCTCACTCTGTAAAATGGGTTGTCATAAGGACCAAATGAGTTAACATTGGTAAAATGCTTGCAGGGGTACCTGAAACATGATAAATTTTATATATAAGTACCAGTTATTATTGTTATTGTTATTGTATTTTAGTTAATTTTCTGCATATCTAATTGCCCCAACTGGTTGGGTAACAGACACTTCTCTAAATCCTGTATATTCCCAAGCTCAATATCTGACACATGTAAGTTCACAATTAGGGGCTTATGAATGAGTTATTGATCTTGGCTGATGCCATAATCTACACTTAAACTCTTCTCCGGAACTATCAAAATCTACTTAATTTTATCGTGGAAAGCACATTGACACTGATATATATCACACATGGGTACAAGCATACGTTCTGTGATGGTAAGGGCCATCCTTATTGCACAGATTCAGACTCTGAGCCACAAGAAGTTACATGATTTACCTGTGATTACACAACAAGCTAGAGGGAATCACAGTAAAATACATTTCCAGAAAACTCAAAAATGTGCTGTTTAAATCCTGCATGTTTAGAAATATGTTTTCATAATTCACAGATAAAAGTAAACCAGAACAATTAGAAATTATTTTTAGCAGGTACCCCACCTGCTTCAAAAACTGACCCAAAGTTTTACGACTACAAAGAACAAGCTTAAATTGCTTGAGAATCTACCTATGAATTTTATTGGACCCCCATCTCCTTTCCCCAAAGTCACCCTCAAATTGTTCTTGATATATATTATGCATAGCTGGACTGGAAATATCTTTCTAGGATGTTAACTGATTTTTACAAAGCTTAAAGTTTCAAAATATTAGCATTTCATGTTTTCTCTGAAGTCATTTAAGCTAACTCATTATTTTTTTCTTTTTTGTTTTTTCCATCCTCTCTTAAAAACTTCTCACCCACCCAACCTAATCACAGGAGTCCTAGAGAAGGAACGAGCCAGACGCCTCATTCACAACTACAATCTCATTTACAACCTGTCCCTGAGCCCTCGGAAAATCGACCAGGCCTTGAGGAGATTTCGTTCAGGAGAAAATATGCTCTTGGAGCCAGCACTCCGATACTTAAAGGAGCTATGATAACAAGCCCATATTGTGAGAACAGATGTTTCCTTTATCTCCCTTTTTACCCAGACACATGTTTCTCCCCAGCCTGAGTGTAGTTGTGGAAGCACTGTCAGAGTTGAGGCTGATGTAGCTATTGTAGATGCTTTGGACTTGGACTTGGTTTCTGGCTGTGATGCTTGCTCATAAGAAGCTCGATGTGATATAAGAAAACCAGGTTTTCTCTTCGGAGGTGGCAAGAACCCAATTTCTTTAAATCTCCTTTTATTCTAATAAAGCTTCTTATTAATATTACATATTTTTTTCTACATTGCTGATCAAACTCTTTTTTTTTTTTTTGCAAACCCTGCAATTCCATATAGTAAAAAACATGCCAGGTATTGTCAACTCCCAAAAATGCCTGTCACATAATGGACCTAAATGTGTCGTTTTTGGATGAGTAAGTCCGCCCTTCCTCTAGTCACTATTCTGAGAAGGATTTCCACATTATAAGAAAAATAAAAGTATTAGCAATATGTTATCTTAATACTAAGTAGAAGTACAATTCCAAGTGAGGTGTTCTGAACAAGTCCAATATTTCCTCTAGTACAAAACAAAAAGATGTTACACTGTCTCCAGGGATATTTTCCCAGACTACTGAATAGTTTTGAGGAGGAATTCCTGGGACAAAAAATTCTGGAAATAGGTAGCATCTTCTTTGCTCCCTCTGGCAGGAAAATCAAGCAAAACTTTCCACCAGTTCTCGTAGTTCTTTTATCCTTAACATCCCTCCTCAACTTTGCACCTCCCATACAATACACTTACACACACACCACATCACATAGGTAGCATGAACTCATTGGAGAAACATTGGTCCGTGGTTTCAGATACAAATGTATTCCCAGTACCATCATTAATGCTGAGTGACCTGGATCCTGATTTTCACATCTGTATGGGAGACAACATGAAGGAGTAAGGTTCAAGGGAAAAGGCAAACAGAAAGGTCTCTGAGCATCTTCTCTGATTCATTTTATATAGTGGGGTGTCTCATAAAATCTTTTAAACAAAATCTTATGAACAAAATAATTTGTATCCACTGACATAAATGATCTCTAAGGGCCTTCTGGTCTAACCTGTTTTAGTTTTTATAATCCCTGAGTTGCCCAGAAAAATGCCTCTGAAGCAGACCAATCACCTCTCTAACATTCTAGAACACTTGGACCTGCTAGCTGCTTTTTAGGTCAGAGAATTAAGCAAACAGATGTGGCTTTCTCATGCTAAAAAAATACCAAATAAGGAAAATTAGAATGTTAGATCAAACAATTCGATATGCATTGAACAAATAATATATGCCAAGAACTTGACATATTTTGTTTCATCCAACTCTGACAACTCAGTAAGGCAGGTTTTATGGCTCCATTTCACAGTAGAGGAAACAGAATCTCAGGGAAGTGAAAAGAAAGCTGCTGGGTTGTGCCTCTTGGTAACTGGCCAAAGAGATAGGGCATTCTGGAAAACACTGGCCCCATGATACCTAAGAAGGTCCTGGTATATTCAACATGTCTGTGGGGAAGTGTAATGGAAAACCAGTTGAGGTGAAGGGAGGCCCTAAACATGTAGCTGGGGTTATCACACTAAGTCATAAGGTCTTGAAGGGCAATGATTTTTCCATATGTCCAGCATCTAGTATAGTTCCTGATAGATGATAGCCCTAGCACCCACCGTCAAACAACTGGAGGAGACTCTATTGACACAGCATGAAAGGTGGCCCCAAAGTTATGTGACTACAGGTCGTGCATACTATACTTTTGTAGTGCTGCCAAGTGTCTACTTCTAGAAGCGGAGTAGACTTGGCTGGATCTAGATCCACAGCTACTGCCCACCCACCACCACTACTTCAAGAGAGTAGAAAAAGAATAGGCTTTAAAACTAGCCCAAATCCAGCTCTGGTAACTTGTAAATTGTAGCTTTAGTAAGTTGTTTAATTTCCCTGAGCTTCATGTTTTTCATCTGTAAAACTGGAGTAATTGTATCTCTATAGAAGAGTGTTACAAACACTGAAAGCCATGTCATTTAAACAATTCTTTGAATGTAGTAGAGATAGACCTTTCTTATGTCCCTTTAGCTGTTGAGCATCAGGAAGTTTGAACAACAGTTTGTGTGAGCTGGCATAGGAAGGTAAGGTTACGGCTACAGCAAAAGCTAATTTTGAGATATATCTGCCTTCTAGAGCCAAGTGATCATTGCTCTTGGATCATCTCCGGTCTGGGATTCTCCCCTGCATTATTACAGGGCGCGCGTGCGTGTGTTTGCAAGACTTGTACATTGCAGAAGTAAATATTCATTAGCTTTTCTCTGAGTAAACATCAAAAGAACCAAAATTCAGTTTAGTCCTAGAGAAAAGCTTAGCTATCAAGCTGACAATGTGACAGCAGAGGTTAAATGAGGCCTGGCTGTGAGGCAAACCACTAGACACAAAGAGGAAAATGCTATGAGGTCATCATGCTTCAGAATATTATGACCTCTATACTGGGACTTCTCCATGGTTTGCTGATGAAAAATCTGTTACTTTTCTTTTTCTCATATCGGTGGTATTTAGTAAACTCCCTGTGGCTGTGTCATTGTGAACTTCTATAAACGCTGGGTAGAGGGTATCTGGTATCTGTGATCTTGATCAGATTGCCGAACCTTTCTAAATGGGTGTCTGTGTGCAGTGAACTGGTTAATCTCAAATATGCCCTGAGACCTGGTGTCAACTATGTCTTTCCCAACTGTTTGAAACCTACAGCCTCTAAATATGGAAAGAGCACTGAAGATATGACAGAGGCTGGACCTCACCAGCTGGGCAGACTCTTTCTCAGGTGTGTGATGCTCAGAAATTCACTACCTACCCAAAAGAGTCATTCATATAGAAGGAGATAATGCTTGCAAACTGCCTAGCACTATGCCTGGCATATAGACATGCTCCATACAGGGATACTGGCTTACTACCTTATTCATACACAGTATTTTGGTTTACCCCATTCAATGGGCTAAATCATTAAATTCCTTTTCCAGGTACAGACACCTTCTAAGCCAACAGCTGGCTCACTGATAGTGGGATCCTGGAGTGCAGAGACCATGTCCTCCACATCCCTGCTCCTCATTCTCTCACCTGAGCTTACTCTTCATTGTAACACAGCTAGGCTGGCATTACTATGCCCATTGTACAGATGAGAAACTGAGGCTCAGGGTGGTAAATGTATTTGCGTAAGGACTTACAACTCATGAGTGACTAAGCCAGGATAAGAATCCACTGAACGCTTCAAGTTCAACAATGTCCTCCAGGTCACAGAACAAATAACACACAGAATTCTCTTTACTAGGTGTGGTCTGTCTCTCCAGCAAATCTCAAAGTCACTCCATGCCAGGACAAAGGTCTTCTCCATCTTTGATCCCCAGCACAGAGCCCAGATTCACCACCAAGTGGGCACCTGGAAAACGTCTGTTGAATGGAGCCCTCACATGAACACTTTGAAAACTCAGCAGCTTTTGACCCTCTTCTATTTCTCCCTCTTCATCAATGCCTTCTGGGGACTGGAATAAAGGGTGTTTTCAGGATGCTTGGCGTGGTCTCTTCATATAAGCAGAAGCACAACGACAGATCGCGCCTTCCAAAGAGTTTGCTAAGTGCTCACTGACTCTTCAGAGGAATTTCCCAAGATCATTAAGAGAAACAATAACAGGGTTTGATATTCTAATTGGGATCAGAAATTGGACAGCTTTGGAGCTGGCCTGAGAACTGTGAAGCTCTGAAAACAAATGCTCGCCTTTCTTCTCTCCCTCTCCTCTCTCCCCGCTGTTGTCAGAGCCTTTCAGCTACAGTTCCAATGCTCCTTAGCAACAAAGGCGGGGTTCCCAGAGCTAGCATGCAAGTCCCCTCATCTGCTTGCACAGTTGGCCGAGGGACTGTGCAAAAGGCAAAGTGGCTTGGGGGAGGCCCAGCATTTAGCGTGGCTTTTTGGGAAATAGGAAGCCTCCACAAAGAGTTTCCAAACAAAAGGCATCAATATTATCTGTGGAGCCATCAGACTGCCTGGGGCACAATATGTCTCTGGCTTGGCCACATGCTTTCTTCCCAAGTTCTGTATGAAGGCTTGGTGGGGTCTCCCAAGACACATCTTGGCCCTGAATGCCAACGTCTTGCAAGATCTCCCTCCTCCTTCCCTCTCTTCTGTCCAGTCTCCCTCAGACTCAGTTTATCCAGGTTGGACAATGGGTGGAACCTAACTGATAGTGGGTGTGCCCAGGGGAGGGACATTGACAGAGGGTAAATGGTCAGATGGTAGGATAATCGTGAACAGATGGAACTGTTGAGAATGGATTCCAGACAAATTCATAGGCAGATTGAGCTCTGACAAAGACTTAGCTTATGAAGAGCCTTGTACCAAGTCCTTGCACAAAACACACATCTCACTCTCCCACATGGGGGTACTGCTACCCAAGTTCTGCTTCACAGGAATTCCAAAATACTCATCAATAGGACAATCCCTGGAAGATTCCAACCAGCAAAGCTACTTCTCAACATTCACAAAGAAGCAACCCTCAGAAGAGTTTCCTTCAACCTTTCTATATTTAAAAATGTTCAGAGATGTGGACCTCACTACTTGTCATCTTTGTCTCTCCAGACAGCTCCAGTTCCAATTGGTTCTTCTAAAATTGATCTCTCTTTTAATTAATGTTCTCCCCTCCCTTGTGGCCAAAGAGAATTTAAGTTTGAGCAATCACTGAAATAACGACACAAACCCTGTGCCTGACAGTTCTAGACATGAGGGAGGGAGGGAAGGAAGGAGGGAAGGAGGGAAGGAGGAAAGGAGGGAGGAGGGAAAGCTCAGCTCGGAAGACACCATCTGAATCCAGGGCAGAGACCGGTGAGGCTCATGGCCCTTGAGAAAAGGAGGGAGGTGGGGGAGGAAAGAGAGAAAAAAAACTTTGCTTCTCCTCTCTAGAACTGACTCAGCTGGGGAAGGGGCTACTGTAACCAAGTACTACAAACCGGGTAGCTAAAACAACAGAAATGTATTGCCTCACAGTCCTGAAGGCTGGAAGTCCAAAATCAAAATGTCTACATGGCTGTTTCCCTGGACTGTGAGGAGAATCTGTGCCATGCTTTTTTCCTAGCTTCATGTGCTTTGCTGGCAATCTTTGGTGTTCCTTGGCTTTTAGATGTATTACCCAGATCTCTGCCTTCACCTTCACATGACATTCCCTTTGTGTGTCTGTCTACTTCTGTGCCCAAATTCCCTCATTTTCTAAGGACACCAGTCATATTA